ATATTACCAATAACTGCTGGCAGTGAGAGCCTGCATACTTACATGTAGTTACAGCCAGTCCAATGCACAAGAAGGCACCAGCAAACCTGATCCAGCTAGTAGATCCACTCATGATCTACCAGCCAACGGTTGAACAATACCTCTCTCTCTCTCTATAAGGCTAATTAGCAAAGGAACACATCACGTGAGGGCGTGGCTGTTTATTTACTTTTGCCTTTACCAGTAGTAGTGAGTGACTCTGCTGTCCCTTCAGTTGATGTACTGGAGCTGAAATGAATGGAGGAACTGGGAAGAGAAGTACTTACCATAAGATTGCATATGATGTACTCCAGAGCAGAAGGTATACATAAGCCTAATGTACCTATCCTTATACACTGTATCCTTAACTATGCAACCCGCATATGCACTGGATATGTTATATGTGTTGTGTGGTGTATGTTAAGATGTGGTATTTTGTTGAACATCTGTGAACATTTGACCACATGAACACTCACTCACTTTCAATGGAATGTACAACTAGTCTTAATGCAATATCTTGATTTCATCGTGTTCTTAAATAAACACTATCATCATCACCATCACTCCTATACATCATTGTTATTATTTTAGGCCACAAAGTGCTGTAGACTCACTGCTTGAAGCTGCAGAGGTGAGTTGTTTATTGTTGATCAATATTCACTACTATTATTTATCATTATTCATTATGCATCAAAAAGAATGCAATATGCATTACCTCATTATGACATCATATTGTTCTTTTTTATAGATTGGTGATGATAAAAAGCTAATGGAATTAGTATCTAAATATAGAACAATAATCAATTTAAAGTGTGTGTCAAGTGGAGATACAGCACTCATCACTGCAGCTCGTAATGGACACTCTAATGTAAGTAATGGAGGAATGGTGGTGGTGATAAGGGAGTGTATTCTCATGATGTTTGATAGATTGTAGAGTATTTAATGAAAAGTGGAGCTGATCCTACACTTCAAAATGATATTGGAGAGAATGCTCTGGATGTAGGACCTCCTCACATAAGGGATATTCTATTATGTAGTGATAATTATTATTAATTTATTTTGATAAATATACTAATTCTACTTTAGCTCAACTATCCAAAGAGAGGCCCTCCACAGCTAACAGGTTATTGCAAGCTGCTTGGTTAGGGGATTCTGTCACTGTTAAAAAGAACCTGGTTAGTATGAAAATTTTAAATGGATCTATTTTAATTAGAATATGCAGTCCGGCGGTATTATTAATGTAAACTGTAAGAACAGTGAAGGACTAACTCCTCTATTATTAGTAACAAGGGACATTAAAACATTTGATAAAGGTAATGATTATTATTATTGTTATTATTATTAATCAATTAATTAATAATAGTTCACAGAGTAATGAAGACAGATTATGATCCACTAGGTGTGATGCAAGAACTACTCAAACATAAAGCGTAAATTAATAAATTTATTTCTTTTATTTTATTTATTTATTTATTAGTGATTTAAGAGCATGTGATTCCAATGGACGGACGGCATTACATTTAATATCAAATGAAGGATCATCATCAGTTGGTGCAGTCCAGGCTAAAAAAGTAGTCTCACTATTGCTGCAGAATGGGAGCTCCACTAGTAAATAAACTGATAATAATGTTAATAATATACTTACAAATACACAGACATAACTGATAAGAATGGATACACTCCGTTGCATATTGCAGCAAAGAATGGACACACAGCTATCATAGTAGCACTGCTGGAGGAAGGAGAGACAGACATTGATTGTAGAGGAGGAGAGAATAGAGACACTCCCCTCATAATATCAGTAAATATAATTATTAGCAACAATTATTATTATTGTTATTATTGATTGTTGTTAAGGTTAGAGAGGGCCATAAAGAAACTGCAGAATATTTATTGTCAAAAGGAGCTGATGTGACACTAACTGCTGATTCAGGAGATACTGCACTCAGTGTAGCTAAAACATCATCAATGACTGCTCTTATAAAAGGTAAAGATGAATGTATTCAATTATCTATTGATTGTTTGTTTGTTCATTAGATGCGTGGGATAAATCAATAGCTAGTGAGCCAATTGGTGTTCCTTGTGAAGGTAGTGGTACTGAATCTGATTCTAACACTGATATTAACACTGATCTTAATGCTGATACTGATACTGATACTGATCTTGCTGGAACTGTGACAGCTCCATTCTTTATCACACAAAATAATGTAACAGGAATAAATTAAAAATTA